CAGTATTATTTTGTATGTATAACATTCATTTTCGATTTTTTTGCAGGTGTACGACCTACTATATAATCTTGACGCGCAGTGGTCCGTAAAACGTTTACTTTTGACTTCACTAATAAGAGACAACAAAGTTACTTCTGAGGGCATTGGTAAAGGAGGAAAACCAAAGGCTGTGGAAAAGGTTGCAAAAAGATGCAAAAAGGATATAAATGGACTTTGCTAGGTATCCGATGAAACATGCCATTCTCATCATGTCTGTATCCTCGTGTCTAGACAGAGTCGCATTTGGAAATGATTTGGTAAAAACTCTCACCTCCCTTCGAACAATCAAAAACAACATTAGATGCCATAACGTAGCTCTAAATAGTATGACTCGTAACCTTTGCATGCCACATTTAAAAAATCTTTTTTGTCGGCTGGAAATGCTTACGAAAAAATTGACTTGCTCCCGGGACCGTGTGGCTCGCCAGCGGGCCACAGCAGCAGCCCGCGAAAAGCGCGCTCGGTCCCACACGCCAGACACGCTAAAAAGACGCGGTCGCCAATGGGTTAACGTTTTACGAATTTTCGCGACTACCCGGACTGCCAGCAACTAAGCCTAAGCCAGTTGCAGCAATTCCTGTAATCGTTCCATTTGGAACATTAGTAGATATCACGATTGGTATGCAGCAAAAAAGAAGTGGAGGAGTATTCGGCGCCTACCAACTCCCTGTCAGTCATGCTATAGGTTTGGGTAGGTTCCCCTCAGGGCCCCAGACATATTAGGATGTTCGCAATGTTTTTCTTAGCAGATCGTCGCCAAGTCAACATTTTCACCCTCCTTTTTTCGATCAACAGCGATGTCATAGGACGACTGTAATTAACCATTACGCCACCCGAGTTAATTGCTTTCAAGCTGCATTCGATTTTTATGAATGACAACCACACATTAGAACGAATCAAGAAAGAGGGTTTAATTGTCTACGCTCACCGTTTCGCCCCACATTGCCCAAACTGTGAGGCGTTAAATGAGCGCTATACACTTTATAGAAACTTACACAACGTGATAATAAAAGCCTAACGGCCAAGCGGCATGTGTTGAGAAAATCGCTATAAAATCTCATCCACTGTCAAGTCATCTCTATGGTTTGAACGATTGAATGACATGAGTTATTTTGAAAATAATCACTGTCTCTTCGACGTCACTTAAACGGTACGTTAAACCGTCACCAGAGAATAAGCACAACCATTTCAAGTAAAGCCTTTTCGGGCCTGGCCGATTAACCAAGGACATGGGGAGGGTAATAAATCTCCTTGAACCAAACGATAGCATTTCTGCCTATGCGTTACAGCCGTTTCGTGTAGACTTGAGAGCGACACGGAACTTATCCGTTCGCCCGCTGAATTCACACTCAAACTACTATATCACCCAGCGCAAAGATCCAGCACCGGAGTATTCATTACACATTTCGATAGATCTTGAGAGCTTATTTTCTTCATTACGATAAAAAGCTCTCTCTACTACAGCAGGCCCTCACTGCTTACCTTGCATGACTTTTCCAACAATTCGTTAACATATGTTATCGCTTCCTCGTTGCCGAATGACTTCCACAAACCATCGCATGCCAGTATCAGGAATCTAAAAAATTCCGTGTCACAATGGGAAAGAAACGAGTTCCAAACTCCTTCAACATAAATACGGCACTTCCGCCAAAATTTCACGTGTCTTCAATACAAATCAATTAAACAGGTATGACGTCGAGCACTATTGACGGATGCCCATGATGCGCAGGTAAAACTTGCTATACCTGAGTGATTGATGAGAAGCAATGGCAAATACTGTATTTCTTATTGTAAAAACTGGAGTCGTACTCCGTTGGTGGCCACTCTAGACAGAGACAGACGCAAACAATGATTCGTTCGTTTTTTTTGTTAATCAGACCGCTGAGTAGTAGCTCAACTCTTTTCCAGCCCAGATTCTTTACCTGTGTTCATTTTGGATTCATATTATCCTTCACGCGAGGTCTCCTTCCACAGTCAACAATACGATAAAAAGATTGAGGGTATATCTGATGATATGAAAAATTTTCGGATTCATTATGGGCAACGTCCACGCCCTTGGCTTCCGTTCCGAGTCATACTGGAGCACGAGCTCGTATTTGGCATTAACAATCCCTGCTGTTGGCCACATCAACCTAAGACTCGAGCCTGGACAGCATGATAGTGTCCCCGCGTGACATTAAACCACATTCACTTCATTGAAATAGGTATCGCCTGATAACATGCAAATCTCACTAATTCATTATCTGCGTTATTGTGTGAAGCAAATATTATTCGAATGATTAGGAATGTTCAAAAGAGGATCAAAGGCAGCTTGCGATACTGGGATTTCCAGCAGTGAGATCACCTTTTCTGTTTTGAAAGTGAATAAAAGTTCAAAAATCAACTGATAATGACGTTAGATTTCTCTGTCATCACTAGTGGATTCTTCTTGCTTGGCCATCTCTCGCACGACCGTTGACGACAGCCCGTAGCATGCGCTACACTAAACAGGCCCCGTCGCTCCGCAGGATAAAAGGCGGTCAACGTCTCACTGACGCGCCGACATACCGTAATCTCCTTCAACCCAGCTACTTTCTGACTATCTACGATTCCGTTTCGATTTTAACCACTAACTTCTTCTTATATTGGAGCACTACCATATTTACTTTTGGATGAAAGCACTTCACTAAGACGTTTCAGTATGGTGGGCACGATTGGTGGTGACCGGGTCGCACCAAAACTAGAGGATCCGCTAGAGGCTGCTATTGTTCAATTTCCTGAACAACCAAAGAAGATAACATTCGACAAATTGCTGGAACAAAACCTTGGCAACTTTGGAAGGTACTCTCAAAGTTCCCGATGCACGTTATATTCCAGCTACATCTTATTTTGTCGAATTGCGTGGAGTGATCTACTGATTATGAGAAACCTACTTCCAGATATCAGCTTCTTCAATTCATCTTACTATGTCTACCCACCATATTTGTGGCCATGCATGTCATGAGCTGGGCTTTCGTTGCCGTTCCACCACCCCTTTCGTAAGTGCCTTGTCATACTTCTGCGTTGGTTGATAAAACCGAAGAAGGGATCCCATAAAATTACCGCTCGTACTTTTATATTCACCAATGTGAAGTAGAAAATAACCTGACAGTACTCGACATCACCTTTTTTTCAGATGTGCTAACACTACATTTACGATGAACTGCACAATTGACGACAGCGTACACTCAGCCGTCGGAAGAGTGAGCGCTTTCTATTCCGAGGCTTGATAAAGCACAAAAAACCAATTAATGAACAGCCTTAAAAGCAATGAGTTCCTATTATTAGTGGCAAATGTATGGAGACAGGTCATGGATCAAAGCAACTGTGCAATCGCTTTATTATATAGGTCAAATGACGGGATCATTATTTTGCGGAATAATGGGTGACAAGTGAGTTCAACTACAAAAACCTCCACATTTTTTGAAGACGTTTTAACGCAATTATAGAATTGGAAGAAAACGAGTTTTCTATCTCGCCATCGTCATTCAGACTTTCTGTGGTCTGTTGCTCACAGTTGCCCCGACGTGGTGGCTGTTTGCACTGCTAAAGTGAGTAGCTTAGTAAGTTTTGAGAGACAAACGAATCATAGACCAAGGTTATAGAGCAGGGACAGGATTCTCACAACCAGGGATATATGGTGTAGCCGTCGTGTTGGGAATGGAATTAGTGGGTGCAAAGTATAGAAGGCTTGGCGCCGTTGTAGCCGGCGCTTTTTATGCCGTGGGAGAGGTAAATATTTGTGATTCACTGTTCACGTTCGATTTAATGCGAACCCTCGAACGTTTCTGATAAAAGTACTTATTCAGATGATGTTGGCTGGTATGGCGTACCTTATCACTGATTACCGCATCCTTCATGCGGCTATAGCGTTGCCTTCCCTAATTTTCCTGTCCTACTGGTGGTAAGCATTGGCAAAGAAGGTGTGACATTGTTACGGTTACTTTTATTTCAAGGTTGGTTCCGGAGAGTGCGCGTTGGTTGGTAACAAAGGAACGATACGACGAAGCTGACCAAATTCTTCACAAGGCCGCTCGAATCAACGGATCATACGTTCCGGAAAGATGGTCAGTGATAAATAGCAGAATAGCCTTATGGAAGCAATCGCATTGACGTTTTAGGTGGGAACAATTGGTGCAAACCCAGAACAGCAAGTACCAGTCGTTTGGTATGATCGACCTCGTGCGTACACCAAAAATGCGTATCAGAACACTAATTTGCTTTTTCTTATGGTGCGTCCAATTTCCAGACTGCAGTGAACATGAACAGTCGTTCACGAGAAGGAGTTGCGATTTCAGGCCAGTGAACACCATGATGTACTACGGATTGACTATGAAAAGTGATCTAGGCGGTGGCAGTCTATACATGAACTTCGCTGTCAGCGCTTTGATGGAAATCCCAGCCCTTCTGCTTGTTTACTTCCTTATCGATCGCATTGGAAGACGTCAACTTGTTACTCTTGGTTTATTAACAGCGGGGATCTGTCTAATTTGCAACTGTTTCATTGGAGATGACGGTATATTTTTTTGATTGTTTACTAGATTCGGGCCTGTTTTACGGACCGTTATGCTATGATGGAAAAAGTCGATGTTTCATAGAATTACTCCATTGCAGTTCCTTTCTATTGGGGAATGCTACAAATGATGATCACGAAGGGTGCAGTGACAGTTTCCTATACTGCTATGTACACTTATACATCCGAACTTTTCCCAACCGTGATACGTAACACTGCTGTTGGATGCTGCTCAACGATTGCTCGAGTCGGAGCTATCATATCATCGTACATGGCTTTGTGGCTGGTGAGAGTTGAGCTATTCGAAAGGGCGATCCCTGGTGGCCCTATCCTAGATGCTCCTTACAGCTTTGCAAATTTTAGTGATTAGAACAACGTAAGATTTGGTTCTTTCATGACCCCAGAGGGAAGTAAGCTAGAGTGGTAACCAGGAATCGAATACAGACTTCATTTGTAAACGGTGACCAATAAGATTGATCTGGTGGGAAGCCAATCAGGTTTTCTTCTGCATACAATTCGACGAAAACGCATGTGAGTTCATTGAAGGGTCACACATCGCAAAAACAAAAACAACGACATGCGAACCCCACGAGACATTCACCTTCAAACCTTTACAGCTTTACAGAAGCCTAGACTAACAGAGAAAAAAGATCTGCAATGAAACGCATTTGAATTTCAGGTCGACTCGTACGGAAAGTTTGCCATGGTCATTCCGTTCACGGCGCTCTCGTTGGGAGCTGCAATATTGACGGGCGTATTTCTACCGGAAACAATGAACAAACCCATGCCGGAATCCATATCTGAGGTTGAAGGAACCGAAATTTAAAGGATACATTCGCGCAGGACCTAACGACGCAAAAGTGCAAACAAGTATAGTTAGTTGTAGTTGACAATGACTGGTAGCGGTACCGATAGTCCCCAAAATACAAACTACCAGCTGCTTAAGAGACAAAACTGCCATGAATGGACAGCCCGTGGAATACCGTTTGCTGGCATAATGTATGTTATATTTTTGCATTTCGCTATTGGAAGGGTATGGACAGGTGTACGCACATCGCTGCACTACTAACTGTTAGCTTTAATGTTATCAATTCGTTTTAATCAGATTCGTTTGTGTATGTGTATTTAATTTACGACAACTATCATGTTGATTGTGCCCATGTCACAACGAGTGCATAATGACACATTACAACCAAGGACGACATCTGTTGATCGAATGTTCAACTAATTGACGATTCTGTTGATTTTTTTTGTTTTCTTTCGAACAGTAAAAGTTTTGAACGCAATAGTCGTCTGCTGTTACACTTCAGTCGCTACTGCTGAGATGCACCTCTACGTACGATTGCATTGCTTCTTATGTCCTTCATATTAGAAGTCAGCAGAAATATAACCGAAGTCAAGCTGCGTCACCAACGATTGCAACCGTGTCGCAGATTTGTGAAATATATTTAGCTTGATTGTTCGGAAGTCTAGTTCTCGATATTTCAGAAGCCAGCGCTCTGACCAGGATTTCTGCTCTTAATCACGCATGTCAAATCCGAGAGGATATTGGCCTTGCTCTTTATCTCTCTGACGCTGCGAAGTAGAAAATTTGTATGGATGAATGTAATAAAATGCTCTACAAGGGATGGCGCTATGAAAAACCTTGGAGGATCATGAAACCGAGCATGCGTTCACATTTCAAAGCAAAGAGATGAGAATGACGCTAGAACTGCGCAATCACAGCATCCACGAGAACAAGACAGATCTACCAACCAATCTACCAAAAAAAGATAATGAAAACGTTCGCTTGCACAGTAGTGCGAAAGGAACACCACCAGATTGGTTTTTCACGTGAACACGAGAGAGATAGTCTTGCAAGAGGTCAATGCAAAAAGGGGAAAGAATTAGGGATTCGAAGAACATGAAAAGAAAAAAACGTCTGCCGGTCATAGTTCCAGATTCGACTTCCTTCAACGCTTCAAGTGAAGATTGAGTGAGTGGAACGCCGCCACAAAAGGAAATGAATGAGCAACTTAAAGCCGTCTCCAACAACCCATTTGATATTCAGTAAACTCCTACTCAAAACTCAGGTGGTGAACACCGACCTTGAAAGGATGTAGCGCAATACTCTTAGCCGAAGGCATATATCGCGAAACTGGATATTACCTTAAATGCCTGGAGAGTGTGGTCAAATTTGGGATGGGTTGGCCATAGGGTAAGATCAAGCACATGCGAGCTAAGAGGAACTCCACCCACAAGGGGCTCGACATGGAACGGAGTGCAAGTAGCAAAACGTCTTTTTTGCGTATCGTGACAGTCTAAACTGCGGGAAAAGATGGGCAGAGGATAGGGATAGGCCAATAGGTTGAATTAAATTTAGCCTGTCCACTTGTTGTGAGGAAAGAATTCTCGCAGTGGCTGGTATCGTTCACATAAATTTATGACTCGATTACGTGAAAGCCTGGATGTAGCAAATATGAAAGGAAGTCTAATATGTGCTGGACGTGGATATCGGTATGAGGCACTTCTTGAGAAAAAAAAACCATAACCCTGTTCAAAAACGTTGTAGAATGCGGAAAGAAGTGATCTAAGTTTACTGATGGAAGAGTGGTCAAATCTTAATAGTGGGCGGGGTTCGCACCAAGGTGGGTGGAGCTAAGCTCTAAAATTCATAGCTATGCCTGAAAAAGCTTCGAAATTATCAATAATCACTTGAAAAAATCATCCCATTACATACCAAATAAGAATTTGGAGATGCCTGTAGCGATTCTATTTTGATTGAGGAAGTTCCTGGGTAGGCGAATGATGCTTAGTAAGGGTCGAGCATGAGACAAGATGAAAAGAGCACATGTGAGTCTATCAAAGCTGAACACAAGGTGGAGAAAAATATAACGAACTGGGCATTGCAAATGGGAATATCTTATAATTTTGTTCCGCAAGCCAAGACACCTGAAAAAAAATAGGCGGAGGTTGGGGACGGTACAACAAAAACATGTTGTAGCATCTGCAAAAAAGCCGAGACGAAATATCATGCGAGTCCGCGAAGCGTTCCCAGAGTGGGCAGTAATTCTTGCACAGTTTCTAACCCACCTCAGCCTATAGGTCAGATTCCTGAGGATTTTAGCTCGGATCAAGAAAAATTGTTAGCTAAGTCACAGTGCGCTTTTTGTTGTGGCGTATTCGTGTGTGCGGAGCCCGACAGGTAATCTATCAAGAGCATATCAGGGATGAACAATTTATATTAATGGTTTTGTTCTTTGCTGTTCTAACTGACCCCGATTCGGACTGGGCTACGCTTAAGAGTGGGCTTTCCTCAGACACGATTATCACACAAGCAAGAGTTATATAACACCTAACGCAGTTCTTAAGAATCTTTGCTTTCTTATCGGTTGTGAATTAGCCCAGTACATGGCAAACAACTTTTTCTACAGCACCGAAATCAAAACACTGAAAGCAAACAACATAAGAAGCAGTAGCCGCTAAAGCTTCTGCGCACAGGGATTATCTTTTTCATAAAACATGGGAGAAAACAGATAGAGAGCCACCTTGCAGATGTTCAGCATTTACCACATATGTCATTGACATCTAACACAAATACGGCATCATAGTCCATTATATAGCGTCGAACGGTTGAAAATTAGTTGTACTCAACTCGAAAATTCATCAATCTTATCGAAAGAAGGTTACCGACCGGAAAGTAAACAGGTTATAGATACGCTAAATTGGTCGAGTCACAAGCTGGAGCAGAAGTTTCTTTCGAAAGTAATCTCTTTTGTCAGGCTTGCTGCCCATCAGATGTTGGTTCTATTCTTCCGGTGATTATAGTTAGGTTGAGCTAATTCGAACCGGCATTTTCATTATAATTACATTCATTCATTATTATAATGCACTCCACCCTGGGGTTAACCTGAACTTGCGTTGACATGGCGCACAAGCAAAAGAGTCATCAGGAACTCTGCCACTTCATTCTATTCTGATACCAATTACCCTTATGCTTTCTTTATGGGAAAGCTTCTACATGATAAAAATTAGTATAGAGTAGAAGTGAAAACTGTCAAGGAGAAGCACCTCAGATATGGGCCTACAGACACAAATTAGGCTCATATCTAGGGTGGAGTTGTAAGAAATGGGATGGATGCATGAACGGAGTAGAGCAAATACAGGTCTTCAATAAAAATTTAGAAAACATGAGTATGCAACCTAAAAATTGGTTCGTAAGAAGTAATAAGGAATGGCTAAGGAAACTCGAAGAGACCACTTCCTGTTCAGTCACGAATGAATGAAAATATTGTGAGAGCGTACCATACAAGCACATAGTCGCTCACAGCAAAGCACAACAGCAAAAAGATTAGAGAAAACCCACGTCTATGATGGTAAAACAGCAAATTCAGCAAATTCACCGAAGAAAATCATTGGCCAGCTATTCTTTCCGTAATGCGAATAGCTTTTATGCGATACAAAAGTTGAAAGATACAAGTTAGTGGGTGTGAAAACCACCAATACGGCGCCTTCTGACCTTTCCCTTATAGTGAAATTACACCAAACTTATACGTGACGAAGTGGCACTTTATTTGCAACAGCTATTTGCTATGTCATAGGTGGATCAAGGCGCCAAAGGAAACAAGACCACCACAATATGAGGTATGGGATTGTCTATTTTCGCCATTCTGAATCAGAAGAACCAATCCACAATTCGTCTCTATCTAGCAGCTTAGTCAGACTATTGCATAGGTTGTAACGCTTTACCTTTCTTCTAAAACCTTACAGTGGGTCCAATCGAAGATAGATTATACGCTTTTACCTGAGAAGACGGGAGAGCCAGATTCAGGAAGCATTTCGAGCAACAGACTGGAATGAGGGCAAACGGTGAAATTTATAGGATGTAGAACTTCCGCGCAATCCAGATGAAAGTATTAGGTGTTTCAGAAAATTCTGTCGTTTTCCAACGCTCAACTTTCAATACACATATCTCGGCCCAAACAAAACTTTATCAATCGAAATAAGAACCATTATTATATACACACTTTGCCAACGAGTAACAAGCTTGCCTATCCCGGTTGCGTAGACTCTGGAGACTTGAAGCGATGAATCCGAGGAAGGTCGAGTTGACATCGTGCCGATTGTTTAAGCGTCCCTCTGAGAGGAAATTGTCGAGATGCTTAAAAAAGTGGTAGTCGGTTGGAGCGAGATTAGTTGAGTACGGTGGGTGTGGCAGAGTTTCATAGCTCGTTCAATTCTTTCACGGTGGTCAGTGTGACATGGGAGCACGCGCTGTCGTGAAGAAGGATCGGCCGTTCCCTGTTCACCAATCCAGGACTCGTGAGCTGCAGCTTCTGGTGCATTTCGTCGATATCCTGGCAGTATCTTTCAGCCGTGATAGTTTCATCCGGATCCAAAAAGCTATGATGAACTAAAACAGCCGTTGACCACCAAACTACCACCATCACCGTCTTCGAGACTTTCGTCGTCGTTACTGAATATCTCGAACCATCGCTGTGCAGTACGTACATTTGTTGCTCCAGGACCTGACGCTATGTTGATATCTCGAGCTGTGTCCGCTGCATTCCTGCCTAGTTTGAATTGGAAAAGCAATATGGTGCGGACTTGTGAATTGTCCATGTTTTTCCAAGCTTTTGCAAAAGCTAGGAAGTCACTATGAAGCAAGGCTGATGCACCACTCAGAAGAGGCAAGAAATGCGCTTCCAAATATACTATGTAACCGCAGAGCAATGGAAATTAATTCAGGAAAGAGCGTCCAAAAGTAGACCATCCAGAACGACAGAACTTTCTGAAACACCTAATATTGCCAAAATACGATCTGTGGTGTTAATAAATTGAAGGACCCTAGAAAGCTGATGCTTGATATGCAAATATAAAGATAAGCACTTGTTGCAACAAGACTCAACAACCAATGGCCATCTGAACAACTTCCTGGTGGCTAGGTTTGTCTAATATTTTGAAATTGTGGAATTCTGAAACTATGAACGAGCACTACTTCGCAAATTAACTCGAAACCTATATAAGAACTACAAAAACAAATCACATTTAAACAAAAAAAAAAAACAAAGTTGAAAAGTTGCAAAGAAACCTGTCTCTCTCAGTAATTGTAAGTTTTTTCATATCGGGAATACACGTCACCCCATAGGTTTTAAATTGCCCATCGCCAATCGATCTTGACACCTCAATTATTCCATTCACACGTCCATCTCTGAAAAAGTAGACAAGATGAATCGGTAATAGGAAAGCCACTCGGAAAAAGCCCCACTTCACAGTGCCACCCGCTTTTTGTATGCGCACTCTTTCCTCGTACATGGTCGGGTTGTGATTCACCGTGAGTTCTATGGGGGAGAACCCACAATCCTTACTACGGCATACAATTGCCTGGAAAGAGAATAGAATTCACTTCTACGAAGCTATGACGTCTAACTACACTTCGACTTCGAACAATATCCACACGAAAAGAAATGATGCTTCCTAATCCTTCTCTTCTACTGAGTGCACCGAGGTCACTCTCTCGAATCACTCGGTGAATTAAGCATGCATCGAAACCTTAGACTCAGAAGCGACTCATGCTTCGATTAAGCTTTTTTTAGAAGACCAAAAATGCCAAGTTGTCTGAATCTTTCTCGGTCGGTATCTGATTAAACTTTCATATTAATAGTAGAGGTTCTGTAGTTTGCCTAGAGCAATTTTGTATTAATGCTGATAATGTGAAATACTTCCCAGCTCTTTCCGTTTTCATACTCCGCGCACGTCCTTGACATGAAGCATTCGCGTCTATTGCATTCGTCTGCCTGTCACGAAACTCGGTATTACCCCGAGAAGAACCTGGAGAGGTCGGGCCAGGTTTGAGAATGGTTGGTCATATGGCAAGATTATAAAAGCACACGCCAACTCAGCGGAGCTCTTCCTGTGGGTAGCGGGACATGCACAGCAATGGACTATGCCGAAAGCAAAACTTGATTATTGAGTTTCAGGGAGCTGAGATGCGGGGAAAATCGCACAAAGGTGAAGAATGGGTCGACAAACAAGACGAAGGAGCCTCACGCGAAGTAGCACCTCCAAAATAGGCTAACCTACAAAGTGAGTCGATTCGACAAAATATGCATGCCAGAAAAATTTCTAAAACTACATGTAACGCGCTCGCGCCTACCTACCTGCTACGAAATTCGATATTACCTAGAGAAGCTCGTGGGGACATGCAGTCGTGTCAGGTTAGGATAGGTCCGGCATTTGCGAAGCTACTCATAGCAAATGTGAGCTCAGCGAAGCTTCGCCCATGGAAGGTGCAGCATATGGGAGCTATGGGCTAAGTTCTTAAATTTGCTTCCTAATCGGACACGCCACAAAAAATGAGCAAAGGTGGGGAACTGATCAAAAAGTGAAATGAAGAGTCCCAACTCGCCTCGGAGGCGTACTCAGAATGGGATGTCTTCTTACTCAAACTCGAAAGAGGATTCAACGAAAGCCTCTAAGCTAGAAAAATACCAAAGGAATGAGCTGCGTTTAATATGTGCTGGGCATGCGTAAAATGACTCTCAAATAGGACGTGCATTTTGCAAAAACCCATGGCTTTGTTCAGAAACGTTCTATAATTCGGAAAATAGTTGTTGACGACTGAAGACATTGCAGGAAGTGATCAAATTTTATAGTGATCGTATGTGCTTGCCATGTAGGACTTTGCTCAGCAACTCTCAAGATTCCGGAAAAAGGATGGAGATCATTGAAAGAGTTGTCAAGGGGTAGGCATCTCAGGGGTAGGCAGAGGATGTGCCAGGAAAACATCCATGGCTCGGTACAAAAACGTTCCAGGAACATAAGCACTAATTACTGCATATGAATTCCTCATCATTACTTACGATATATAAAGAATTCACGTGCGACTTCCTGTAATGCCTGAGATAGTACGTCGAGAGGATAAAGGATAAAGTTTTGGGGCGTTAGTCAAACCCGTCAGAGGGATGCGCTCACGTATTCGACTCACATTCAGAGACTTAGCGTGGCGTATTGAATGCGTATGCGGCCTGTGCAAGGATTTGCGATGGCCAGCCGATGTACAGGTCAGTGTGTTTTTCATTTGGGACGAGTCTGGTTCTAACTAACTGGCCCCGGAGGAAAGTTGCCCTAGGCGGATATCAATCCGGGATCCGAACCTGTGGCCATGCGTGTGTGAAGCGCGCCATTTGCCACTAAACCAAATCCACCCTACTCGAAGAGGTTGAGGAGGTTTGCTCAGGGAGGGGTTTAGGACAAGGTGAGAGCACATATGTAAACCAATCAGAGTTCTATTCACGCTAGCTAGTCAAAACTTATCGATCTGATTTCCGAACACCTGTAAATAAGCAGAGGTGGGAAATGGGTCAACAAATGAAATGAAATATACACATAAGCGGAGTCCGTAGTGACCTCACGGAGGGCTGTACTTTTCACGCTAATTCATAATTCGATTCCACAACAGCCCGTAAACCAAATTCTCGAGGGATTAGGCTAAAATCCCAAATTCATGACTGTTCGAAGCGTTCTTCGCTGTGATGCACGAGTAGTGTGTGTTTATGGCTGCTTTCGTAGTTCAAATACGTTATCGACGATCGGCCAAGCGCTGACCACGTCATGACAACACTGGGCAGCTTGCGTTTAGGGCCGCGGGAGTCATTAGCGGGCGTCAACCATCGATGCCCACTGTTGTCATCACGTGGCCAGCGCCCTCGTCGGTTGGTCGGTCGGTCGCCGATAATGTCGTTTATTTCTGAAAGCAGAAAGTGTATATAGCTCAATCGGTTTTCAAATAAGCAAGGTATGGGATCTGCTAGGCACGCCTAAACCAAGCGAAGCTTCTCCTAAGACGGACGAGAGTGCAAAATGTTAAAGGCACAGTTCACGAAAATTCCCTGTAACTGGCTCGCAGGGCTTTCCCGCCCCTCGATCGATGTCACGTCAGACGGGTGTCGAGACGATACAGTTTGCAGATGCTCGCTCTAGGACCCACACATCAGCTGATCGCCAAGTAATGAGGCGATGATTTCCTCCTATTCTTTTGTTCCGTTATTCTTTTTGCTGTTGCGATCCCTAATTTAATTTTCTTCCAAAAGGGCTGAAAAAGGTGGGCTACTTTTGGTGTTACTAGGGGATTTTGTTAACTTTGCTTATGAGTGAATGAATTTAGGCCTACTGTAGTCGGTTACTCGCACCAGACCCAAACGTCGCACTGACACACATTGTATAGCCGTCCACACGCCCCATTCTTCTTCATTTTCCTGGTCCCATTCCCCCAGACCCCCTTTTAACGATTTTTTGAAGTCTTTTTTCACTCCGGAAACATCGATTCAAGCAGTTTCTTCGCCTTCATCGCACTATTTCCATCTTGCCTTCCACTTTTCGTCATAATTTGAATTACCCAAAATTATCGTGGACTGTGTCTTTAAAAGATCAATCCGCTAACGCACTACTAGATCAATGTCATGCTTTCTTTTTTCGACGATGTACAGAGGAACATAACGAAATATGGGTCAATTACAACTTACTCGATAACGATCAAGACTCGGCTACAGGCTATAAGCTGAGAAGTATAAGTGCCGAGTGAAAAAGAAAATCAAAAAGCCAAGAAAACTAACTTTGCTGTCTCCCAGGTTGGCGACGTACAAGGAGTCATTCAACAATAAAACACAGGTAACAGTTGTACCATCTTTCCACACCGGTTTCCTGAATAAAAAAATGTTGAGAACACCGCTGCACCTTGTGTGTGTTTTGTAAGATCGGCTGGAGACTGAACTTAAGAAGACGATGTTCATAAAAAACGGATTGGTACCTGATGCTCCCTTCACGCTTGACAGAACCAGTATCTCCGAATGCTCCAGCTACGTGTATCTAAGTCGGGAAGTCAAAATGATGAACGACCTAGCTACGGAGCTGTGCAGACGGAAACGCGCCGCATGGGGAGCATCCTACTTACTATAAAGCGCTTCGTCTGTCTGTCTGTCTGTCTGTCTGTCTGTCGGTCTGTCTGTCTGTCGTTCTGTCTGTATGTCTGTCACGAAATTCCTTAACTCCTTTAGATCTACCTGGAGAGACCGGGTCAAGCGTGGGACGGGTGGGCCATGTCCTCATGGCCAAGTATAAAGCACACATCAGCTTGGCGAGGCCCCGCCCACAGTGGGCGTGGCGTGCATCGAAATGAGCTGGACTGAGAACCATGTTTCAAATTCAGTCACAAGACGGCCTCAAAATTGGGGTTTGAAGGCGGCTAGAGGTGTGCATTGGTAAGTTAGATCGAACTGGGGAGACCCACCCCCGATGGGCGGGGCGTTCTCCAGAAATGCGATGTTTTATGAAAACGTTTATAACTCGGTCTGGAGAAAGCCAACAGAGCAGGAAAAAGTTGATTTAGGAGAAGTATTGTCAAAGGTGCCTCCAGCATAAATGGCGTCAGCAGAGGTCCGCCCACAATGGGCGGAGCGTGCCTCGAAGCTCGCATCGTTTCTTACATTTATATACGAAAATCCATAACTCCTGTTCCCATAGGCCTAGAGAATTCAAATTTGGTAGGAGTAGAGGCGGCATGATGGGAAAACTTATGGTGGGTGGCAAAACCGGACTCCGCCCACAAGGGGCGGGGTTTGGGCGAAAATTCATAAATCCGATAAAGGTCTATAGTGAAATCAGCTCATGCGGCCCCGTCTCTCACGGCTAGAGCCCCTAGCGCGCGCGAGAGCGTGCGTAGCCGCCTGGTTTAAGAATACAGAAGGAGTAGTGAAGAAGACAAACAACATCCGGTCACCTTTTTAAGACGGCTGTCCTTCTGACGTTCGCCTCGGAGGTTTGGACTCTACGAAAGCAGGATGAGCATCCTGTCAGCGTCATTCAACGCGCTTTGGAAAGGACGATGCTCCGAATTTCCCTATTCACGCGAAAAACAAAAGGGAATCCGGAGTTCCGAGCTCCGTCATCGAACGAAGATCAGGGATGCCGCTGATTACGCCTAGAAATCGAACATCAGGTAGGCCCGACACGTTATGCGATATAGTGATGACCGTTGGACTAGGGCATTTACTGACTGAACCTATCGGGACATCAAACGAACTACAGGACCGCCGCCAACGAGAGGGCCAGACTTATTCACGGAGGCTCTAAACAAAAGGAATGTTGGGCCTCGTGTGCCTGAAGTGAGGACGATTCAGTTCCACTCTGGCTCGTGACAGGGACGAATGGAGACGTTACAGGCGCCCGCTCAAGGAAGTCGATGATCAGCAGGATGACAGATATCTCATTTTCAATGGTTCAACAGCGACAGTAACACGTGATAACCTGATGTAGTCAGATCTCATTAATAGGGTTTGTGATCAGAACATGCCATCCCAAGGCTTGAAGTTTGTAGGGGTCTTCTTCGCATTGTGTGGTGGACTGCTGTGGAGAGAATGGACCTTCGCTGTTGCTGCCGCGATCCATCAGAATACGATAGTCTTCGGTGCTTAGAGTGGAGTTTGGTGGCAGTAACTCCCAGTGAACGATCCTTCCGGACGCCCAAAACGCTGAGCATTGCTTTCCTAGATTAGAGTTCTCTTTTGGGATCGGAATTCCATGCTTCGCGCCCAAACCACTGGCGCTTCCTCTTTGGGTCTACGTAGAGAGCACACTTCTCGTCGTCGGTGATCAAGTCTACCACCATGCGAGGTGCGTCGGAAAGTCAACAAGTTCAGGCTTGCAGCTCTCCTCATTTGGAGCTGGTGACCACACAGCTCTTGACGAAACCATACTCCGCATCTCCATGTCTCCGAGGCGATGCAAAGGGGTGCTACTGTACCGTGATGACTATTGAGCTCCTGTTCCAGCTCGCGGGTACCACGCCTAGAACTCTTTCCAACCAGCTTGAGAAGGTGATTGCCATTCAGCTTAGCTGATTGGAAAGGAGATCGTGGTTTTTCGGTCTGGTCAAAATGATTTGCACTTTTGGTACAGATTTCTTGTTGTGCTATAGAAGATAATGGAGGCCCATCGCAACACACATATTCCGCTCAATTTGGGCTACCCTTTTTCCTAACTTATAAAGCAGAAGCAGTCTAACTTGCTTTGACACGAGAGTGATTCTTTCAATCATCACCGATGCGAAATGCTACAGGTAGTTATGGTGCGAAGAGCGCATTGACCTGACTTGCGCATGTTCCACAGTGAACTTGCGGAAGCGATCCTCAAAGATTTCACGACAAGAACTTTCGATCGAGAACGAGTAGCGATCCCCAAACTTTTCACATCATGGAGACGAAATGTGCGAAGACTTCTTCAACTCGAATATCTCTCTAGCACCCATAGAAGTTAGAAAGTATGTTAAAAGTGGATAGCAGATTGTCGCATTTCAATGTCATAAATGTAGCATAACGACAAAAGTGCTTCATCGAAAGGGATGAAACAGCGCAGAAATTGCACAGCTTTTATACAAACTAAAGGAGTCTCCTATGCAAGCACAGCGATTTTTCAATGTTAAATATCTAGCACCACGCCCGCTCCCCATTCATCCAGGTTTATTTGTACAAAGCTCAAAGCTGAATCAAAAACCCACGTATCATTGCTTTATAAGCCCGCATTTCAATGTGCACGCGACGACTAAATGCTCTCAAAAATGGGTCACCTGCATAATCGAAACAACAGAGACAACTTGAATTAACTGCACCACAGTCATGTTAGCCTCACTTTGATACGGACCAAATCAAAATTAATGACATACATGGCCTAGGTCCTTTTTCTGGCCAGAAGTTCCTCGACCAAGGACTATGGAAAAGTCATCTACGATTCCTACTCGGATCTCTTCAGTTACGTCTGCCTGCCATCTTAGCATCTTCACTAGCTAGGGGCATGGACACTGATGACGCTAATGATGTAAGGAAGTCAAGTGAATAATACAGAAATTTATTGCAACGGTTTGTTCTCAATTTCCTGTATTACCAATGCAAGGGCATCTATATCAAAACAACGTTACTGAAAGAATAACAACGTAGAATGAATCAAGCAGGTAACCAACTAGTCAACCGCTACGTACACAGGTTCCGATGTAAGGAGAATCAGTTTTCAATAAGACTCACGTTTTCCTGGCTTCTGCCAAGAATCCTTCATCAATTGACTTGAAAGTCTCGGTAAAGACACGCTTTAACTGTTTCTCCAAAGTGCTTAAATCACTATCTGCAAAATCGAAGATCTTTTACGTTTCATGCAAGTCATTCTTAGCAAAAAAATCCATATCAGATAGCCATTTGTTTCCAACGCTAAGAAAGTTCAGGTTTTCCTATATCAAAGTTAGTGCCTTGACAAATCACAACACCGTTCAAAATGCCCTAATACACCGCCTCCCCTGATTACTCACACGAACTCAACTTTTTCTTCAGAACGTCGGGGACCTTGTCTTCGCAGTACTTTGCAGCACGAGTTCCAGCATGACCATCGAATATCGCATACAAAGCACATCGCTTTCTGAATTTGGTTGTGTTCGAAATCATCACAGCCACCTTCTCAAGAAAAAAAATCGCTAAAGAAACTGACACAAACGTTAAGTTGAGCGATAAATCTTCTATCAACAGATGGGCATCCTGCATATCTTCTCTTTGACCACGTCGACAACCAAGAACGCTGATCAATTGCAGAGGTTCCGATACTTAAGCTTGTCATTTTTAGTACGATTGAAGCTGTGATAAATTAGTGCAACCGATAATCACGGTGATGGTTCAACGTTGAAAGCTAGGGACTACAAACTTCACGCAACCCCTTCCCAACATACCCCAACATACCCACGTCTGTCCGTTTGTTTGTTTGTGTGTCTCTCTCACAACAAATTCGATGTTATCTGCATTCAAATAGGTAATGTCAAGTTTAGGATGGGTAGGACCAACAGATCACAGATGAGCTCGGAGGGACCATAATCACACGGAGCGGAACATGCATTGGAACATGAGGTCAATGAGAATAAGTTCACTATGTTGTTTGAGAAAATTCTGGACACCTGGAAAAAAATGGGAAAAAATTTGGAATAGTTCAACATGTCATTGTTAGAGTTATGATTTCGATGAGATCATCTGCGGTGGGCGTAAAGTTTTCAAAGTGGGCGATACTTCCTACGTGAAGTCATAATCGATAATCAGATTTCTGAGGGATGGAATTCAGATCAAAAAATCGATCGCGATGCGGTTGAAAGGCAAGCGCTATGCGGTACCCAAATGGTAGTCTTATTATGAATGCACATTCAGCTAATTGTGAGCAGCGCTCTATCACAACAGAGAAGAAGGAAGATCTTGGAAAGAAGTTCAAAGTAAATGAGATTTTGAAAGAGCTTTTCAGCTCAACGATATACATAATCACATGCACAAGTGATAAGAAGATGGTGTTGGCTGGTTATCCACGGAATTCAATTTCCTTCACTGTGAACAATAGGCTTAGGATTTCCAGTGCAAATACAAAATAACAGGTGATAAAAAAGGGTACTTCGATTTCATTATATGGTTGGTGGTCGGTCGATCACAAACTCAGCGAAACGTTAGCTTTCTTGTGGTCGACAAAGACGGGTATCCCGACTCTTAGCAACATCTTGATGCAACAAGTCCAAAGCTTGAGTTATGATTTCGATGAGATCGTGGTGAAACTCCTGAATCGGTCAGCTAACGAAAGAAGGGTCCGCGTCAAGTGGCTCAACTGTTCGATTATTGTACCTCGCGTTGAATCGCCGGTTTCGAGAATACTATTCAATAAAGTGTGTTTGCTCAAAATGTTCATTAAATGAATTTCACACAGGCATTCAGATCAGAAAGTCGAATATGTTTGCCTTACAGTGTGCCACGATGCCAGGAATAGAGTCAAGTAGCTTCTCTTTAATTTAACGGTGTTACTAGCTTCTACTCAAATTGCCAGAATTACCAGACCATATAAGTTGGGAATGTTCGCCCTTTCCACTTTCACGACTCATCTTCTTCCCTCGAGCGCTAATTCTGCACTGTCCAGGGCCCGTTGTTCCTGTCAGCCGTATCCACTTCCCTCTATCTGCGGCAACTTCTGCCGTTACTTGGTCTTCGATTAGTTTTTTTCTATTGATAAAATTATAAACGGAACTCTTCCCGAAATATGAAGGAAAATTGCGAACATTTTCACAAATCCTCCCCCTCCCCCTCCCCCTGAACGCCTTATTACAATACAGCCCAGAATTTTTTTGAATTGTGGCTCCTTTTGAACGTTGGGTTCCAAAATGGCTTTTCTACTGGCTTGAACTGGGCACAGCTTATGGCCAAGCCGTACAGGGAAAGCAGTAGAGAAGATCAGATTAACAAAAATAAGGCGGACCTATATATTGCAGTAAAATAGAAAGCACTAAGCCGTATCAAACAAGCAAACTGGATGGAGTACAGCTACACATTATCTCGCAGTCACAGAAAAGGTTCAAAGGGAATATGACAGAAGCGACCAATATAGGTTGCAATCTACTTACATTCGACTGCTTTGTGTCCATCTGTAGATGATATACGAATTTGCTCCGTAGTAGCATCTCCACCATTCGATGTTCCATCAGAATTGTTAATTGTCGCACTACCAGTTACAGAAGTAGAAGTATCCGGTTCTTCATCGCTGCTGTACAAACCTGAAAAAATTCGAAAAATGAGACATGCCAATAAGAACGAAACAATGGATACTGTGCGGAGAAACAGCTCAGGCAACCATGTTCGGTAAAAGAAGAACAGAAAAGTGGACGGTAATACTTAACAACATGTGGTGCTTGAACAGAATTATATTCTATTGATTTTGGATGCATAGCGTTTAGTACCAACCCAATGAATGACGCAAGAAGGCATAATGAGTGATGCGGAATTGTGCTAGCTTTGGACAAAATTCCTAGCTGTTCCTTGTTCTGTGGGCAAGAGGTGACCACCAAATCGTCAATGGCACCATTCAAAGCAAAGCCTTAGGCGCCGAGCGCCAGCGCTTAGTGCTCGTCGCTTCTGCGCTAAATGGTGACACCGGTGGTCGATCGGTATCGCACGAGCCGGCAGTGAAAATTTATTGATAGTTTTTCAGGGAATTAAACTAATGCAACAAGGGCTGAAACATCACCGTACATCGAGAAATTTGCTACTAATCGAAAAAAAAGCTGACCTTCTCACACCTACACCAACACATTTAGTTGAGATAACCATTTAGTTACCTCCGGAAACCTTTACAGAAGCACAACACAATAAAGAAGAGATCCAATACTGTACTGCGAAATTGCCACGAAGCGGGTGACAACTACTCAGATTCAGGGTGGATCCAGGACGCACATTCTCGACGCAACCCCCGCCGCAGATTCTCGACGCAATTCTCGACGGCCTAGAGCCTTCGCTTTCTGGCTATCACTCCTACTCGTGCTTCTCCCTTCCTTCATTCTCTGGAACTTCTATCGTAGACCGAGATAAAGGATTTTATATTTACCGCGCGCGTCCAAGCATTCCCACATATTGGGTGTTGCGCCCCACTTCACAAGTCTCAACGAGGTCATGGCGCATCAGCATGGGATCCATACAACTTCTACCCCTTTATAAAAAATGCTACGAAATTACCAACCTCCTGTCTTTTTGGGTGGTGGCATATCGTCATCATCGTACAGCGGTAAAGAAGAAGACCTTCGTTTCCCTTGAACTGCTGGCATGTCAAATTCGTTGTTGGCTTTCTTCTGCAAAAGCAGACTAAATGCAGAGCTTGTGAGTCGATGAAATTCATGGGTGACATTTTACACTGTTAGGACACACATCTACAGTAGTCACAGGCAATTAAATGGCGAAGACGCTGTAGGTGGAATGGAATATTTGGAAAGATGGGCTTGATTCAGTGAAGGTGGCGTATCAAATGAGTCAAATGGCAGATATGATGCACGGTGCCGCTTTAAGTAGATAAATTAGAGCAAGTTAAGTGGATATGTTAGCAATAAAAGAGCTATTACTGAATCTTTGGTTCCCAATGGGAATTTCCAAAGACGTTTGTCTATCATTGTCAGCGATTGTGTGTATACTAGATATGCCCATATCTGAAAACCGCTGCTGAAAGATCGTTCATATTGTTTTCGAACTTAAAGTCCTTCGCTGATATTCGGTAACTGAGAATGCCCTCCAACATGGAGATTTCTTATTTGCACCGCATGAAATAAAACATTGTTTACTGGCTAGTGATTTCTGGAAACTAAGAATGGAAGAAAATTAGTTCACAGGGGCCATCCAGGGTGAGATTCGCAAGGGCCATTCGGGACGAGATGTCTACCGACTTATGGGCCTTCGATGATGATTTCAAATCCACAATTTAAATTGTGAAACGATTCTGGCAACAAAAGACAAGCATGTGTTGGATGTGATAATGGATACAGCCCAATTCGACAGACTCGCAGAAGTGGCAGAGGGGAGTCGGTATTTGTGTCCAATTGTAATTACTTCGCACCTACCTCGCCCATCCACCACTCGCCTGAGGGGTGACCTCCCTTAATTGGTTGGCTGGTGACCTTTCTGGCAGTCTCAGTATACTGATATTGATTTTATTGATTGAAGCCTTTATTATTGTGTTATTATCAATAATAGTAGTCAGACATCGTGCTCAATGCGATGAAAAACACAGTACAGAGGTGATTTACGATGCTTTCATCCTCATGTTTAAATATAATACNCGTCTTGTGAGAATGAATGCTGAATGCTTACACAATGCGATGAATTTTTTCCCTTTCTTATGATATTTCCAATGGTTATTTTAGCTTCCACACCTTCTTCTGTTTTAGTATTTATGCGTTACATATTTTTTGCTTTGCTTTATTTTATTTCTCATGCTTTGAATGTAACGAAATTTCTCACATACACAATCGATATTGTTAGAGGTGAGGCTAGTTATCTGACAGAGAGGTCACCAGCCAACCAATTAAGGGAGGTCTCCCCCCAGGCGGGTGAGTGGATGGGCGAGGAAGGTGTGAAGTAATTACAATTGGACACAAATTGACTCACCCAGTGGCAGAGGGGTTCGCATCCCGTGTGCATAAACTTGTTCCGCTATTTATAAAATGTAGGCTTCAGCTACAGAATAGTTCCTGCACCTCCCATGGATTATCTGCAGTCCAAGCTCGCCAAAGGAACTTAGGAAATAGTCTTTGAATTATGTCTAATCCTGTTCTCTTCTGACCCGATGAGGGATGTTGCTTTACACAGAGATTGGGTGCGGCACTACGAAACCTCGGCTGCCTTGTGCACTATTGACGGAAAGGTTTGGGACGACCCATCCTACCCAACTTTCGAATCTTACTCGCACTTATAGATATTCAGACAACATTATTCATGCACACTGATTAATAATTAACGAACACTCCATGACCGTGCATGTCGTCTACTTTCAAAGCATTTAAAGCGGAAGTGTTTCACCACTGTGTGAACAATCACGGTATTACCTGCCCTTCCCGCTGAACAGATTGTCTCGAGCGAGCGCCAATAACGCCTTCATTTGTCCGTGTTGCGAGCCAGAGTGGTCTAGCGGAGGCGCTTGAGTGACAGAGGCATAGAATTCGCTTCGCTAAGAGCTTACGTGAAGAAGTCTGACCATCTCGCTGACGGCCGTCGTTGTGCTCGTTTAACGTCCCGAAGGATCGCCCTAGTCCCACGGTCACCACGATATACAGGGTGGGCCAAAATTATGATTACAGCGCGCGCTGACGTTCATTGCAAATTTTTTCTATGTTCATAACAATTCATTGAATTTCTTCCATTTCACAAAGTAGCTTACTTTATTACCTTTCTAATGATACTGCACTTTGGGTAGATTTTTAACATAATATAAGCGTAACTAGTCCGTGAATTAAACGTCGCTTTGCATTTTCAAACACTTTTGGCACGGTGCATCTACAGACGAACTAGCGAAACAAGGCAGGTATTGCATTCAACCATAAGACGCTCTCGAGAGTTGGGAACAATTGCAGATAGGAGTGGTGAACCTAGAAAAGCTGTGGTTATATTTAATGGAAGTTTTAAGGAAGCAGGGCAAAGGTCTACGTAGCAGCAAAATTCATTCTGAGTCCAAAAAGGCTAAATGAATGGATATGTCACGTATTTTCTGCGTGAAAT